GTCCTTTGTAAATTGCTGCTATGAGTGTGCAAAATTAAACCACTTAAAAATTCCCTAGCATCCTCCCGGACTGATGTTTTGGCCAAGCTAACTGGAAATAAAGGCAAGTGATTCAGTGCAATATAAATATTTTTCTATTTTCCTTGTTAGCAATATGAAGTATTTAGCTTCCTTTATTGCTTTTTGTAGAGCTATGATCCAGAGTGTATATGATGTAAACTCTTCAAGTAAAAAGAACTTTTTATCTCTGCACAAATATAACTTTGGCTCAACTAAGATTCCAGGTTCATTTCCAAATGTGCTTTGCCCTGTTAACCCTGCAGGTTGCTTTAGGTCTTGTTAGTGCTACACTTTGAAAACAGCATAACAAAAAAAAAAAATCAAAAGCCTCTAAAAAACCCCCAAAAACTTACACAGCAGCAGATGAAGAACACACAAGAAACCATCTCCTTACAAAGTAGAATTCCTGGGTGCAGAGATACTTACTGGACATTAATACTTGTTTTGGCATCAGTGAAGGTTTGCAGTGTTAAATGAGAAGACATTCCTGTACCAAGCAGCTGTTTAAGACTTGTTTAAGCATCAACCAAATTGGATGCTTCTCATGTATGCACTGACTATTGTATTGCAGTAACAATACAGCATCAATATTTTAATATTAATATTTTCAGTCAGAACAGGTGTGACAAATGCTCTCTGTGAAACATTCCATGTCATCTAGAATTTAAATTTACGTATATAGCTACATGGATAGCTGAAGAACTTTTGTTACCGAAGTTAAATTTTCCCAGTAATTGGAATTGAAATCAAAAGCACAATTCACGACCTACATTAAAAAAATGCTTTATTTATTACTTTCAGCTTGAGACTTAAGTTACTGCCCTTGTTCTAAAATAAAGTCACTATGGGCTTCATTCCTATCTGGACCATAAAGCAACACTAAAATTGCACATGTAGCTTTTCACCAAAGCAAAAGATAAAACCCATGACATACTACCACTTCTAAAGATGCATTAACAGAACTACACTCATTCTAACAAGGTTTGTTGGTACACACTAGTAAATTCAACAAATGTACAGTATCTGGCATGATTTTAAGTGTACAGGACGCCAAAGAAAAACAATTGCACTATGTTCAAAATCAGTTCACAAAAATACCAATAATATTACTGGTGAACTTTTTAAAAACTTTTCAAAGCTATTATATACACCATTCTTCTGAAAAGTATTACAGAAGTAGTCTGAAATCTTCACATACACTTATTTCAATTTTTCTTAATAGTGGCAATCTTCAGAGCTCATGGTAAGTTTAACTTGGCATCCTCATGCAGATCTTCTCCCATGTCAGCCTGTCATATTTTCAGCAGCCTAGAATAAAAAAAAATTATCCCAAGTCACCAAAAGACACATCAAGTAGATTAAATTTAATCTTTTCTTGTAACTTTTTTAATTACCTAGAGAACTTAGGGGTCTAAAAAAATCTATTTAGGAATTTTTTTCTAATGAACATTACTATTTTCTAAAAAATAATGCTGTCAACTGCCATTACCCTTTACTAAAAGGGCCACTGCTGTTTACTTGTGCTACATCCAGTATCTGAGCAGCTTTTATCTTGTACATTTTACCCTACTACTTTCAAGAAAGGCTCAAATGCATAAATATAGTTACCTTTGGAGTTTACTTCATATAATTTATGGTAATTATTACCTCATCCATATAGATTAGTTATTGACACAAAACTCAGAAGAACGACACTAATCATAACTGCATAAATCACACTACCAATTATTTGATTAAGAATATTAGTATTTTTATAATTGAATAACTACAGTCAACAAAGCACAGTTGTTGAAGAATGACAGTGGCAGATTTCATACCACTTGTGGGACAAACAGGCAAAGGAGAGGAACAGGAATGGGAAACCAGTGAAAGCAATGGAAGAAGTAAAACAGCCTCAATTATTTATATACATAGTTAAATGCATATGTAAGCACACATTTAAGCCTAGACACAAATACAAAATGTGCATGAGCATAGAAAAATGTTAAGTTGAAAATAAAGTATGCAGTCTTCCAGAATAGAAGCAAGATATAGGTTTCCCCTTTCAACTCTCAAAAATAGGCAAATATAAAACGCAGTAGTAAAAATCTTGACTGTGATGTTTAGGTAGAGAATAAAGAATGAAAATCCTTTAAAATGCAAGTGAGATTTTTTTTTTGCCATCTACTAGTTGAACAGGGAAATACACATATATGAGAAGCCCTATATATACACAAATCATGAAATCCTCTCTTTCTGCTCTTTGGAAAGGTTCAAAGCAATAAGGGAGTAAAAGCAGTATGTTAAGATCATGTTAACAAGCTGCATGTACATATTTACAAGTACTGCTGCATACTCTTAGATCTGAGGTTGTAAAAATGGGGTGATATTTGTTAAAGGATAAATCTATTTGTGATATTATGCAGGGAAGGGGACAAATGGTGACTATAATAAAATTTTGTGAGTTTTGGTTGTGGCCTATTTCTTCAGAAAAATAAGTATATTTTATTTCTACAAAACATGCCATTTGTACCATTTCATGTACAGTTGTAGTCATTGCCTCCTCTATTGAACAGCTTATTTCCTTGATTCAAAAATGAGTCATATCAAAGTACAATCTACAAGCTGAAGCATAGCAAGTTCCATGTGCATCTGACTCTTAAAAACAAATGTATAAGCTTTTTAAACTAGAGCATTACCTTTAGAGCTTCTGTGGCCTTACGCAGCTCTTTGATAACAGAAGATAAGGCTTCTGGGTTTATCCCTTGCTCACACAGCCGCACACAAATAGACAACGTCTCCATATCCAAGCCAGTGTTTAATATTCTTGAAATCTCAAACAGAACTGCAACAGAAAAAATTGAAAGCACTTTAGTTCCTACAGACTAGGAAATTTCAATGATCAAGATTGTTCTTCATCAACATTTGGATTCTACAGCACTTCTACAGCGTGAACATGGCAAACGTCCATTGCTATTTGCAACAATATTTATGCTCAACCATCCAACATAAGCTAGAACTACAGCTTCTAACATAAACACCATGGTTCCCTGGTTCAGGAAATTTAATACTGGATAATAAGTTTTGAAAAAGGAATAAAAATAAGTGAAAAATTCAACAATTAACATGCCTCCAATTAGGTAAAATGTAGGCTATAAAAACACTCTGTGCTTTTGGACTCCAGACACTGATGAAGTCCTTTCTAATCTTTAGGTGTTGAGGCAGTGTCTTTGGCAGAGAGATGTAGCAGTTTCTCCAAAACAATTCTGAGCTCTTAACAACTTTGCAGACAACAACTGCTAAATGTCTGTATCTATCCTAAATAAAATATATACATAGTTACACAGGAAGCGTGGGCTCCTAAATCTGAAGATTAGTGCACTTTCCATATCAGTTCCCAAAAGCCTTACTTTAAATCTGCCAGTTGTCCCTCCTGTCTAAATCACCCCTGTAGAAGGGGAAAGAGTGAAGTTGTCGAGTACAGTTACCAGAGCTTATATTCTTTGTCCTTCCCAAAGAAGTCACTCTCCATCTGCACAAATGGTTTTACCCTCTTGATGCATCAGAGGAGCCATAATGGTCCTGCTAGTCCTGCCTTGACTCCAGCAGCAGGTCAGAGCATGAAGATCAGTGGCTGAAATGCTAATTTTTACACCAGCTCAACTCATGAATGTCTGGATTAAAACAAAACCTTTTGCGACAGCAGCTGTAACTTCAAGAGAAGGGAAGATGCTGAGAAAATAACAAATTCGTAACACATAGCACTATGACCTGAACATTCTCTCTAGCCTCTACTCCCTCATTAGGGCATTTTCAGAGAAAGGCCCCACATTTAACAACCCTCAACAGATTGCCTGGCTGCTTCCCACTCTGCATATAAGCTTTTGGTACAGGCATTTTGTGGAGTTCCAGAGTTTCACACTACACTGAGAACCAACTCCAAAACATGCCAGCTTTGACTCCTCACGGTCAGGCTGAAAGTGAGCACCCCAACTTCACTCACCTGCTCGTATTTCTCACGGCTTATCAATCCCAAGTATTTCCCAGTACCCCTTCTCTCACATTCCCATCCCACAACAGCGCCTGAATTTGGGGTTTGCTTTTTTTTTTTCCCCACATATCGGGATCTATTTCAGTTCTGCAGCACTGACCATCGCCCTCAAAGCTTTCACACGGCAGTGTCGTTTGGGTTGTTTCGAGGTTGTTTTTTTGGAGAGCACTGCGGTTTCCTGACGGGAGCCGCGAGCAGGAGCCGAACGCGGGGGTTCGGGTCCGCCCGGGGCCGCTCCCTCTCTCCCGCTCTCCCTCTCCCCGCGCACTTCCAGCCCCCGGCTGAAACCCGGGTCGCAACATGGCCATGAAACATCACACATAACGGGAAACAAGAACAAATGCACGTGCAAACACACACAGACGTAAATATATACAGAGACTAAAAAACCCTCGTATTCTATGCTAAATAGCTAATTTTAAAATATAAGCAAAAGCATAAAAAGGAAAAGCCACGTCAGGTCCAGAGTCACTCGCTCCGCGGAGGCTGAGCTGTTTCACGAAGTAAAACAGAAACCGCCACACGCCGCATCTTTCGGCAGCCGCAACCCGCGCTCCTCTCCCCAAGGGGCCGGGCGCTCCCTGTCCCCCGCATCCCGCGCTGTCCCGGGGCTGTCACGCACCGTCCATGGTCTCCCTCACGGCGTTCAGGCTGGCGGCGTTGCTCGCCATGGCGACCCCGCCGCGCCCGGAACCGGAACGCCCCGGGCCCGCCAGCCCCACGTGACGGCCCGGCGCCGCGCGAGCGCGGCGGGGGCGGGCTTTCTTTGAATTCGTGCGGCGGCGGCGCTGGCGATTGGCCCGTTCGAGAGCGGGGCAGCCCTGCCATTGGCCCGACGGCGCACACCGCGCTCCGTGATTGGTCAGAATCGGCAGAGGGGGCGGGGCTAGTTAAAGGGCCGCCCGGCGCGGCGGGGCGGGAGCGGCTTGGCGGCGGCGGCCGGATAACGGCGCCGGTGGCTGTGCCCGCGTCCTCGGCATTCCCGGCTCACCCGGCATTCCCGGCATCGCCCCCTCGGCGGCGGGGCTTGGGAGAGCGGCGAGCGGCTCGGCGCGGTGGCACCGTCCCGGGGAGCAGCGTGAGGAGGGGCTCAGCGGGGCCGCTTGCCCCGGGGCTGCGGGAGGTGCCCGGGAGGTGCCCGGAGGTGCCCCGAGGTGCCCCGGAGGTGCCCCGCTGCCGAGCCCCGCGTGGCCGGCGCTGCCCGGCCCGTTGAGGGCAGGGCGGGCGGTTTTAGCGCCCGGGCGGTTTTAGCGGGAGCCGCCCGGGGCGTTATTGCCGCCCGGCCGCTGGGGCTGCTTGGTCACCTCTGGTGCTTAGTTCGGGGTTTTTTTTTTGTTTGTTTGGTGGATTTTGGGCTTGTTTGCTTGTTGTTTTGCCCTTGTTTGGGTGTTTGCTTAGCTTTTCTTAATCCCGCTTTTTATGTTCTGTCTTAACTCGTTTTCGTAGTTTCTGTTTGCCTGCGGTTGTTCGTACCAGCCTTACTGATCGGCTTTATGTCATTAGGTCCAACCCATAGCTAACTAAATTTTTGAAATGTTGCTGGTGCCTTAAAACGATTATTTCTGTCTGCCCAAAGCCTTCAGGGTGGCCCTAAAACGTCAAAAGCACGATTTCCTTAATTTTCTTTAAATGTTGCTGGTGCCTTAAAACGATTCTCTCTGCCCAAACCCTTCAGGGTGGCCCTAAAACGTCAAAAGCACGATTTCCTTAATTTTCTTGTTTTCCTTAATTTTGCTCTCCCTGTTTTTCAGGTATAGCTTAGTGTTATGGGTGATACAGAAGAAGCTAAAATGCAGATAACACCAGAAACTCCAGGACGAGTCACAATCCTGAATCCTTTTGAAAGTCCCAGTGATTATTGTACTCTTCAGGAGCAGATTGTTTCCAGTCCTTTAATTTTTAAGTCAACGAAATCCTCATCTGTAAGATCTAGTTACTTGTAGCTGTACAGATATGGTGATAATCTTTTCAAATGCATTCAAAAGGGTATTTTATTTAGTGTACTTCAACATATGTACCAAGCTAATGAACTTTGGTGGCATTTGGAGTTTCTTCTCTTCACAGAGCTATGCTGATTTTAAATACTAATATTGCCACTTAGTCTTCCTCCCTGCCTAAATTTATTGTGTCTTTAGATATTAGCAATTGAGTGCTAAAACCAGGAGAAAGTAGATAAAGACCAGTTGTTGGATGTGGTGCTCTGGTCCTACTTACAGTACAGAAAACCAGTTTCTACTTAGATGCTGAGTAGGCTGGTTTTAATTGCACTTGTGATGTGAGCTGTTTGTGTATTCAAGTCAACGATTTTGTGTATCTGTAAGTGTTTTTTTCGTTGCAAATTTCAGACTGGTTTGAAGTTGAAATTATTTTCTGATAAGCAGTAGAGGTGAATCTGCTAATGAAACCAAAAAGACTCACTTGGTAGATAATTTTCCAAATATATTTGAACAGTTCTTTCTTAAATAAAGGGGTGAACCTTCGTGTTTCTGAATTAGATTTTGTTATGTCCTATGTATGGCATTTATGAGAGAGACATTGCAGAATGTACAGGCATTGCAGCTCTGGTCCTCTTAGAAATGGGAAGTGAAAGGAAGACTGCTCTATTATTTGGATAACTTGGGTTAGGATACTGAGTTTTTGTGGAACTACAGTTTGGATTGAAGAAGCAATTTAAGTTCTTGCCAAGTTATGTATCTTTAGTAGAGCTGTGTGTAGGAATTGAGAAGAAACTGACACCTCGGTTTGTGAATACCAGCTGTAATCTTCCACTTAATATTATGTTGTTAATCATTGCAGTATTACTACCAGCAGGATAAGAAGCCTGACTGACTTACTTTTTTTTAGAGTAGGCAATTTAAATAGAAACACTTCTGATTGTTTTAGAAACTGTATGGAAGCTGTGATTGTATTGTTCCATTGAGATTTGCCCTGTGGTTTTATTTTTGTCTTTTTAGAATAGCAAGCGTTAAGATGCCTGTTTCTTTCTTTAGACCCCAGGAAAATTCAGATGGTCTATTGATCAGCTTGCTCTAATAAATCCTGTGGAAATAGACTCGGAAGACATTCGACGCCAAGGAATGTATTTGAGCCGTGCTAGGTAACTTACAATCTGTTTTTATGCAGCTAACTTAGCTTTAATACTAGAACAGTTGTTCTTTTGCTTTATTAACATTTCAGCATAGTATTAAGGGCTTTTTATTAAAATCTTTTAACACAATTTTTTACATGATGTGGATGTAATATTTAAATGAGGCTACCTCTGTGTTGCTACCTTTTAATGTTAAGAGCTGCTGATCCACTCTGATTGCAGTTTGGAAGACAGCCAGATAAAAAGAAGCTAGTGGAAGCAAGAAAATGTCTTGCCAGTGATCATTACCAGGCTACCTCCTCTGCTCCTTGTAACAACACAGTTTATCTTCTTAGAATGCTCCATAGTGAGGCTTTTTTGGTCCCTGGGGCTCCTGCAGAAGGGTAGGTGTGCTAGGGAAACTAGCTGGGGAAGCCCCAGCAGTCTCTTTCAGAAGAATAGATTAATGTGAAGGAGGGGGTTCCAGTACTAGTTACTTGAAGTAGTTTGGGAACCTTATATCAACTTTTTTTCCTTCTCTGAAAATAACTTGCACGAGGAAAACGCGTGGGTAAAACAGTATTGGTATTTGGAACTTACCGTGAGGGATAATTTTATATGCGAGTGGTAGAGAATGATGTGCCAGGTGACAGTAGCCAGGGGGAACCTCAATGGTGAATCCTGTAGACTCCCCTTTACGTTTCTCAGATACAAACTTGCAGAAGGAACTGCTCCTCAAGGCAAGAAGTGGTGCAGAATAGAATAATGAACCTGTCCTGTCTAGATCAGGTTGCTCAGTCGTATCCACCTTGATCTTGGATGTTTCCAGGGATGCGTCATCTACCACCTCTCCATGCAATCTGTTCTAGTATTTCAACACCCTCATCATAAAAAGTACTGTGAAATAACTTACTGGTTTTAGTGTGTAACTGAACCTGCATCTCTCTTTTTGAATAATAGTAATAATAATAATAATAATAATAATAATAATTCTGTAGGACTAGTACTGCCCCCAGCTTTATCTGAATCACCAGGTCTTCATGTTTTCTGTCCTTCCTGTAGCAGCCAGTAGGTTTCAGACTAATGGTTTTTATACATTTTAAAGCTTTAAGCCTAATGTTTTTAGGGAGTTAATTACATTTTTTCTGGAACCTTACTCAGACAAGCTAGCTTTATTAGAGATTACTTGGGTGACAGTTCCAGTGATGATGAGTGACGTGGCCTGTGGATTTGAACATGCATTGTCCCAGTGGGTCCTTTCAGTCTGTCCCAATGTTTCATAATCACTGTGGTTCATTCTTTTTTTAAATCATCTGCTGTGACTAGAAGGAGGCTAGTTTGACTGTGTGTAGATTTGCTGTGTTAGTGCCTGCATGTTTCAGTGCATACACATATGTGAATCCACAGTGATTGTATGCTTGTTTTTTGGTACAATAACTCTGCAAGTGCCTCCATAGATCTGTCACTTTAGCATCATGTAGGCAGATGTAATTGAAGGTGGCATGTCCAAACACTGCAGATATATTAAAAGTCTCATAGGCATAAAAGAGAGAGCTGTGAGAGGTTATGTATTTGTCACATCTATATGTGCTTGTATATCTAATAATACCTTTCTTATCTGACTGATTTCTAAAATTATTCAAGGGTAATATGAACTGTGAATGAAAGTATTAGGTGGTTCAGCTAAGAAAATGATGAACATTTATAAGCTTCAAAATTTTTATAGTAAATTAAACTGTAGTAAGTGAAAGTCAGGCTTGAAGGTGACCATTAGAGGAAATATAAATTTAGAATCTCACACATCATGAAGTAACTACAATATTTCTTTTAAAACTAAGTTAAAAGCTGGGTAAGGAAACATAGTCATTGTTAGAAACTGAAATGTGATACTGAAGAAGCTGTGGCAGACTTTGTATTTGACTAAAGAGAATTCTGTGCTGGGAAAGTGGGCTGTGTCAGGAATTTGAGTGTGCAAATTCCAGGAGTGTTTTCAGTTGCCCTTTAATTCCTTACAGCTCAGCTTTTTAGTCTGCTTGGTTCTATAGTGCAAGTCTAATCTCATGTGAATTTTCATGGTAAAATACATTTTTTGGAAATTATTTTGGAAGATCAGTTATGATTGAGTTTTTGTCCAGACATGCTGAGTAAACAGAATTTTTGCCATTATGTACTTCTAAATGGTACAAATGTTTTTCAAGTGAACTGAATTGAGAAGGATTTACATTTCTAAATTAATGTATGAGATCATTGCATGTAAGAGTAAAAACATTATAAGATTTAGGGTTTAGTGCAATTTAATTTATAAACTTCCTCTTGAACATCTATAAATTATTATATGTCTGGACTTTACATATTTTTCTGCTTATGTGATGGTTTTGATAATTGAGTTGTTTTTCATTTGTTACTTAGAATTGATAAGGAGACAGAAGACAGAAGGCAAAAAGCTATTGAGGAGGTAATAAAACTTCATGCTATCTATCAAATACTGATTTGTCTACAGAAAAGATTCACATTTTTTACAGGATTTCAAAACCCAGAAGCCTATTATATTTCAGCAAGAAAGTAATTTTGCACCCTCATCCCTTGCAGTTGTAGCCGGGATCCACACACTCCTTTCCCTCTTCTTTCAGACACATGTAGTTCAAAACAAGTGATTTCTTTCTTTTGTTTTTCTTGGCTAGGGGTAATGTTCCTGTAATATAACTCTTATTAACTTCAGGTTAGAAACAATGATTGAGAATTGGGGGTTTACAGTGACAGCTGGAGTGATAGTGCGTGTTTTGAAATATTGGAGAATTTGTGTGATTTTTTTTTTCCCTTCTAAAGTCTGGTTTATTGGATGGAAGACTTTATTCTGTTAGCTTGTATTTTCCCATCCATTTTTCATTTTGTTCACTATTCATTTGGCTAGCAGAGAAGGAAAAATGAAGTGTTAAAAATGTTTAAAATTCTTTCACTACAGAAATCTTCAATGTTATTTTCAATTTAAAAAAAATTAATAAGTCTCTGATAGGCAGGTCTATCAGTTCTGTCTCTACAAACAAAAAATCTTTCATGATTCTTTTCAATTAAAAAAATAAATAAGTCTCTGATAGGCAGGTCTATCAGTTCTGTCTCTACAAACAAAAAATCTTTCATGATTCCATAAAGGAGCTGTGTAGTTGATCTGCAGCTAAGATGCTCTGTTGTTCTAAATTTGCATTAAAATGGGTATTTCCTCTTTGTGAGATATAACCTAATGGATTATGCAGCTGAACAGCTTGAAACCCTGTCTCTGATAAAAATTATACCTTTAATAGCTGCGTATTTCAAGCTGAGGTTTTTTCATTTACGTTGAGTCTTGCATTTATTTGGGAACAGGATTTGCCATGTATTTCTTGAAGCTTTGTAATAGTGTTTGTCTCCTCAGCATCAGGGTGTTTCCCAGTACAGCTGTGATGGTAGACAGTTTCTGGTTCACAGATGCCAGTACTCAAAAGTGTTTCACCACTAACCAGTTTAGCCAAATACACTGATGATAATAATGTTGCCAAAAAGCTTTGGTTTATCACTGTTACTGCAGTGTCTGTCACTTCTGTGAAATAGCTCAATTGTCAAAATAAAACTTAACAAACTGAAAATGTAAAACTAATTCTTTTTAAACAACTGTGCAAGAGGCATGGTAGTAACAGTCCAATTTTTAAAATGAGTAATTACTGTTAAAAGGAACTTGTGTATAGTTTTCACTCTGTACACTTGAGGGATCTGAGGTGCTATGGGTCATAAAGAACATAGGGGTCTTCAAATAAAATTGTTTTTTCTTTAATCTCTTTGGGCCTAAAATAATGAAATGTTCTACATTTTTTTTCTTGTTCAGGGTACTAGTCTAAATTTAAAGTTGAAAATTTTAAAAAGTGCTGAGATGGTTTGTTTTTATTCTACTCCAGTTTTTCACAAAAAAACTCATAGTTCCTTCTCCTTGGACTGAACATGAAGGCAAGCAAGTTTCTCAGTTTAATTCAACTAAATGTAAGTTGCTTTTGTGTGTCCACCCAAAATTAATACAGCTTTTAGAGAATTTATCAAGCATAACTTTTTTTTTCAAGCTCAATTTAAATTTTAAGAAACACTTTAAGGGCAGAGAACATAAGGCATAATCTGAAATCTGGTAAAGTGAAGGGTGAAAGAAAATAGTTCAATGGGTTCTTCATCTGAATAAAAAATTTGAAGTGTATCTTCACCTTTCTCCAGTCCAGACTGAATGATTTTCTGGAAATGTGTTTTACTTGAACACAGCCTGTTTAGTTTGTTTTAAATCTGTGTCATGTAGAGACAGGAGGAGACAACGTTCTGGGCAATTTTGATGCTACTTCACTAAGCTTTTTTTGAATAGAAACATGCTGAAATTCTCTTGATAGCTATAATGGTAACCTTTTCTCAGTACTCCTTTCTAATCTCTACCAAACATGGAGGCAGTAATTTTGTTTGGTTGTATTAAGTATTCTAACTTAATGTTGCTACATTTCAAAACTATGTGCAGTGCATGTTTAAATTTAAGTTCTATGTTTTCCAGCCATAGATATAAATAACATTTCTCCAATTGGAAGACGGCTGAGCTTGCAGCCTGGGAAAAGCAATGGTGAGTAAAAGGCAATGCCTAAAATTACAGGCTTTCTCTGAACAAAACCCATTTTCAATGGATATTAAATTTAAGAAGCAAATGATTTGTTTGTGTTATTGTAGAAATAGTTTTTCTTTAATTGTATGGTACTATTAATTTTAATATCCATTTCTCATAGAAATTTAATTCTGTTATACTCTGTTGCATTTTTTCAAGTAAAAAAATAAGTCCACTGTAGACTGTGGAATGCATTTTTTCCAACTCAGTGTCTGTACTTTTTCTGGATTAAAAAGTGAATATGAGCTTCAGATTTACAAGTAAATTACAGTTTTGAAAAAACTGTATAATAGGTTGGCTTGTTTTGGGTTAGAGAATCATGATTATTTTCTATGCCAAGTAAATATCAGAAATCCTAATACATCTTTTAAACTGCATCATTTTAGATAAATAGTTACTGTTTTTCCCCAAGGTGTTTTTATTTTTCTGCTGCTTCCTTTTGAATCCTTTCTTTCTTCAGAGAACTGTTTTCTCAGTTAACATAAAAGCCTCTAGAGAGGCATTCTTAAAACTCTTGGGTTTCTATCTCTAAGCCTAGTGTGCTGCATGCAATGTTGTCAAATCAGAATCGTAGTTTAATTAACGCTTTTCCTTATTGCAATTGTAATTGAAATACCTTAATTGCAGTGCAATTTGAAAGTGAATTTTTGTTTCTACAGCTTTGGTAAAAGGTCACTGTAAGCTAATTTTATTGGTTTTATTCGTTGCAGCTGCTTGTCAGACAGTACTGTCTTTGCCAGTGGATTTTAATTTAGAGAAAATACTAGGTATGTCATGTAATATCTAAATTTAATTATGAATGTCTAAATAGAAAACTTGGTTTTGTATTGTTGGCTGGGTTTGTCTTGTGAAATACTGAAAACGAAATGTATGAATGAAAGTTCTAAGTATGTATTCTCAATAGACAGTTACTGCATGTCTGGAAATGGTTCTGCCTGCAGGTGATCACCTCTTTGCCCTCTACAGTTTCCTCATGAGGGAAGAGAAGGGACAGGCATTGGTCACTTTTCTCTGGTGACCAGTGACAAGACCTGAGGGAATGGCCTGAAGTTGTGTCAGGGGAGGCTTAGGTTGGATATAAGAGGATGGTTGGGCACAGAACAGGCTCCCCAGGGAAGTGGTCACAGCACCAGCCTGACAGAGTTCAAGAAGCATTTGGCCAATGCTCTCAGGCACGTGGTGTGACTCTTGGGAGGTCCTGTGTAGGGCCAGGAGCTGGACTTCAGTGATCCTGTGTCCCAGCTCAGGATGCTCTGTGATTCTAGATAGCCTGTGCATCTCCCAAACAGAGCAGTAATTTGTCTTACCAGAGCTGTTTGTACAGATGCCAGCCAGAAGTCTCAAAGCCCAGTCTTGCCTTGAGTAAAGCTGAGCTGTAACTGTCTTTAGTGTAACCTGAAACCATGGTGGGGACTAGAAGTTGTGTGGTGGCAAAAAAGCCATGACTGCTGGGTGAGGAGGCAGGAGTCCAAATTAACTGTCTGACTGTAAGTTCTGCATTGAGTAATTGCTACCACCTTCTCAGGCAAGGGGGCTGCAAGGGCCTGATCTTACAGCTCCTAGGTGGGAACTGGGTACAGCCCTCTCAGCATTTTGGCTGCATGTTCCTCTCCCAGTGCTGAAATTCAGAACTATGACTGGGGGCCAGCAAAACATATTTATTGCCTTTGTTTTTTGTCTTAACAAATGCTTCCATCAATACATAGTTTGGGATTTCATGAAACATTTCTCCTACAGGGAATATCCAACTAGACTAGAGCAAGAGGAAAAAAATCTAAAATAATCTGGTAATCTGAGCATATTTTAATGGGTCTTAGTTTGTGCTTTCCTGTTGTAAACAGGAACTACTTTCTTCAATTCTAATCTGGTTTGCCTCTGGATCTATCATGAAGACCATTAAAGTATATGGAAGACCTGAAAAAGAGTCTAGGTTTGCCTGGATAGTAAAATAATCCCGGTTTGACAGCTCAGATAAAAGGAATAATAGTACATTTCTGGGGAAATATCAGTAAGTAGATAGAAACCAATTTTTTTTTTCAATTCAGACTTTAGTATTAAGGGATGATAGGCAGAAGTAGAATGACCCTTAGTAGACAGAGGTGACTTTTGTAGGGATGACAAGCAATCCCTTGGGATAGGTGCCTAAACAGATTAATTAGTTGCTGTATTGCTAAATTAGATTAAATGTTTTACTTTAATTATATATGTCTCTGTAATTGAATGTATTTTTTTTCTACATTCGTATTGGAAACAATTTTTCCCCCACATTTCTAGGTGAATATTTTAGAACTGATGAATTTGCAGATCAGTCTCAGGAAAATCTAAGCTCTTCATCACTCAGAAGAAAGCTGTTTTTAGAAGAAAATGGGAATGTATCTGCATGTTTGTCCCCTTCTTTGCATAGTCCATGTGGTAGTCAGCCACTTGGAGTGCTTTGTTCCATAGAATTATCTCCAGTCCGGTGCAGAAGCCCTCTGGACACATCTAGTTCAGTAAGTAGCCTGTTTTGTAGGCTGGGTGAGAGTAGGAGTTAGACTAAAACTTTGGGCTTTTACTTGGGTTATTTTTTTTCAAATTCTGAAAAAAATATGTGAACAAAAGTCTTAAAAGAGTGTATTACTGACTTTTTATTATTTCAAATTATTTTGTTATGCTGCTATTCTTTTATATTGGGAATTATGTTTTAATTTTGTTATGAAAAGGGAGTAGGAATTAAAACATAAAAAAGACTTGCTGAAAGCATGTTAAAACCTTTTTTTTTCCCCATAAAATGTGTCTACAAAAAAAGTCCTGTTTAAATCCATGAATTGCTGCCTACAATAACAGTTGATATGAACATGTGGTATAATTATATTTCCTTTAAATCTCATAAGCTCATTTATAGTGAAAGAAATGACTTGTGGATCTTTGAAGTGCAGTGCTAAATATGCCTTTTTCTTTCCTATTGGCCAGTTTTCAGATGAATAGACATTTATTAGAACACAGAATGAAATGTCCATTTTTTAAATTAAACAAGATGAACCATATCCCCATGTGGACATAGCTAAAGTGGTTTAGGTGATGTATTTTCATCTGTGTGGTCGTTTGAAGTGCATGGAAAAAACCTACCTACACTAGGATAGTGTAGCTTAAAAAAAAGGTAACCTAGTAAAGAATTCCTACAGTATAATTATAGTGCCAGAAGTGATGGGTGGGTGAGGGGCTGGCTGTACTGTGGGGGATTTTTTTGTTGTTGTTTGGTTGTGTACTGTGGGGGGTTCTTGTTGTTGTTGTTTGGTTAGGGTTTTCTTGGGTTTTTTTGGTTTATTTGCATGATAGTCTTAAGCAAGGTCATTCTCTTAAAGAGAAACACTTCTGTAGCTACTGCTGAATTAAGTAAATTGGAATATATAAAAATATAAGTAGTGGCTGACTTTCATCTGCAGTGATATGAGTAAGAAATTTAGATTAAACACTTGACTAGATACACAGATAGCATTAATTCTCTGTTTACATTTCTCATTGTTCTTAAGTATAGTGGATGAAATAGTCCTAGCTGGTATTAGGTGACCATTTGTGTCCATTGCTCTTTTCCCCTGTGTGGATGTATAAGGTCCAGGGGAAGAGCTACAATTAGAGTATTTAAGCTAAACTAGAGATTGTCATTGCAAACGGTTGGCCTTTCACAGTGCTGCCATATTAAGCATTTTATTTAGAACAATTTTATATATACATATTAGCCACAGTTTACATTATTAAAATAATGTTCTGTGGGTTTGATTTTTTTTTTTTTTTTCATTCTGAAGGGTCAGTTTTCATCAAGTCCTATTCAGGGAGGAACAAGAGCTTATAGTCTGGGAAGTATAACCAGTCCCCCATTTCCAGAGGGGTCTCCAGCACCTAATGGTTCTCCGGCTTTTTCACCAATTGCTTTTCACATAAGAAAAACACCACTCTCAGGTATGGTTTGATTGTATATGTATTAGTCTATCTTGAGTAATACATTTTTGTTGTAAAAACTTCTAAATTCTTATTGGAACGTTTTTCTGTTTGGAGATGAGTTTGTTTGGAGATGAGTTTCTGTGCTTGGCAGACCAGCGGTCTGCTGTATAACACATCTTCTGTTCAGCAGTGAAATATGTGAAACAATGAAACGTATATGCTTGCATAGAGAAAATATTTCAGAAGGCATTGAGACCCAATAAGAATGAAGAAAGTTAAAAGGGTTAATTTAATCTAGTGTAGGAGGGGTTTTAAAGCCACATGCCTCAATTTAGTCAGGTTACAATTCTGATTTGGGCCAGCCTGAAGCATTTTAATATCAATAGGCAAAGAATGTTCAGCTTGAGCTTTCAAATCATGCCATCATGAAGATTATTTGAAGTGAAATGACTAAAGAAGAAATCACAAACACTTTATGTCCTCATTGCTTAGAAAATGTCACTGTTTCATGCTGTGTCCATACCTAGTAAGGCATAAGCCTTGTTTATACATGATTATACAGATTTGGCATGGTTATACATATTTATACATGACTTTTACACATTTTAATTAATGATATTTTACACCATCTTATATGGAGGTTGCACAGGTGTTTTCTCACTTGTTTGATCTTAAATTTCATTGCTACCAAAAATTTAAATGCCTATAGATTTTGTATTGACATTCATTTAGGAAAAAACGAATGGGGGACAAATGGACTACACTAACCAGCCTTCACCCATTTCCCTTTGAATACTGTATAGTAATGATATTTAAAAATACAAGGTCTCCAATACAGAAAATCATGTCAAAGAAAAGAAATTTGGAGGGATAAGACCTTGCCTTTACCATGGTAGCTGAAATATATGGATGGTGGTTTGGGGGTTGCTTGTTTGGTTGGGTTGGGAGGCAACAGTCAGTGAAATACTCTGTAGTTGGCCATAAATTATTCAGTGGACTGCAGGGCTTTGAGAATGATGAGTTTTTCTATCAGATACCAGGTGAAGCTAAACTTTGCCCTTTTTTTTCAGACCAAAGAAAATTTACATTTCGTTCTCCAGATATTCCTTCTTCCTCAAATAGAATGACACCCCCAAGTACAAGAAGTCCTTACATAGATGGTTGTTCTCCAATTAAAAATTGCTCTCCTATGAGACTTGGAGCCTGTAGAGGAACTGCCCAATATCAGACTTCTGTCATTAGAATACCAATTGCAGTTGAGAATCGTGAGGATGAGGAAGACAAGGAAAACACTTCTCCAGCAGAAGCTCGGTTCCCAGAAATGGATAAAGGAATAAACCTACATCAGGAAGACAGTGATACTTTCGCACATGGTACACATCTTGTGGTGACAACTGTGTCTATTGCACCAGATCACTCAGAAGGTTGTCACCAAAGGTTGCCATCATTTCAGGATATAGAAGGCTTAAAGGAAAATAATACTGTAGACATGGCTGATGCAGCTGAAGTGTCAGAGGAAAACACTTGGATGAAAGAAACAATTGGCAGTAGCAGTGCACCAATGACCAGCTTTATGACAGGCATTACTTTCAGTATTGAAAGCTCTCGCATGTGCATGTCACCTCTTGCAGAAAGCAGTGCAATTCCTTGTGACAACAGTAGTATTCAGGTAAAAATATAATTTTTGGCTTCTCTGTAAAAAACTGAGCTCAACATATATATACTAATCTGGAAGTAATTGTTATTTTCTCTTATTGGATGTGGTATTGTGACTTTTATCCCTTCCCTTTATCCCCTCTTTCGGTGGAGTTAGCATAGCAATTATTTTTGTGTTGCTGTGTACATTAGTATATTTAAGTTAATCCAAACGAATGCTGACAGACCTGTTTACAATTTACTTTTGTTACTAACTGGTTATACTTAGTTTGTTGGATTAAGTTCTGTTAATCAAATGCAAATCATACCAGGTATCTGAGGGATTTAGTTGTGTTAAGTGATAGTACATTTTTCAAGCTCTGCTCTTTGATTTCAGGTGGACAGTGGTTACAATACACAGACTTGTGGAAATAGCATTATGGATACTGCAGGGACTGAAAACAGTTGCAGAGAGAATGATTTGAACACTATTGTGTTTCAGAATAAATCTCAGCTGCTTAGAACAAAGGTAGGAGTTGTGGTTAAAAATGATAAGCTTCTCATCTAAAGCATTCGTTCCCCATTTTATTTGGTTTCAGGGAGCCTGAGGGGAGAGACTGTCAGATGATAATAAAGATGTTAATGTAGTGTCGGTTCAGAGACTATATTGAATAAGTGTATGACAAATATCTTAAACTGGCAAAAAAATTAATGTTTTATGATAAAAGCAAAGGCTGTTTTGAAGGAAACTGAGGTATATGCATGAAGAGTAGTAGTGAGGCTGTTCATGACTCTTGTAGTCTGTAATTTTTGTTTCTTCTGTTCTTGCTGCTTCATTTATTGCTAAGTTTTAAACATGTGTCTGTGGAGACGGACATTTCTGGAGAAAAATTGTCTGCTGCTAATTTTTATAAACGTAGCATTGAGTTCTGGACTATACCTGGCATGCTGATTTGGTGGGGAACTTTCTGCATGGGTACAGTCTTTATACAAGCCCTTTGAGGATCTATCTGAAAAACACATTACAAGTGATAATACGTATCTAGCAAAGCTCCCAACCCCTTAATCTCGTGACTGATAGGAAAGAGTTCTACTTCTTCCAGAGACTTGGAAGCAAGGCTAGTTTCTATGGAGAAGAGAGCAAAGATCATCTCCTCTCAGTAATTGTGGTCACATGATGCTACACACTTAGTAGTTTATGGTCTGCTGTGTCTTGAAAGTCCTTCAAGGGGAGGGAGACAGTACTGACCGTTAGTACCAGATTATAAAAAAAACTCAAACCCATTCAGCCTGACTTCACTTCTGGATGTGACATACTAAAAGCCACTTCCCTGCCAAGGGGAAATGCTGACTGATGATGTCTTACAGACCACTGATACCAAATTTTAAACTGTTCATTTAAGACGAGGACAAATGCACCCTTACAAGAACAACAGATATTTTGTCATTTACTTCTAAAAATACTCATCTAAGTTCCTGTCCCGGTCACTCTGTTGGACATGGATTTTATGTGTGCATGTACTTGCCAGATTCACTTGTCCAGTATCAAACCCGTCCTAGAAGGAGTTGCCAATGTCATGCAGATGCCTTTTCCCACTGTTAGTCCTTGAACTGCTGGGTCCTGACTAAGCCAAATTTTGCATTTTAGATTAGGAGTAAAGTATGAAGGCATTAAGTGCTTCATTCAGTTCTTACAACTGAAAATCCCTGGGGAACGAAAAGAAAAAAACACAGACATTGCTGGCTGAAGGAGTCAAGTCAGGGTCATTCAGACATTCACGTGAACCCTTGAAATGAGGTAGTTCTTGCAGACAGCATGTTTCAAAGGTCTGTGCAGAGAAGATGTGTTACTTCATTTCTTTGTCATTTCAGAAGCGTAGAGTTGGTACTTAAGGTACTTAGTATATTGAGATTTGCAGTTAGTGATCTTGGATGTTGTTTCTTTTGGAGAATGTCTGTTAAAACAGTTTTAAAACTAACTTTTTCTTATTCACCTAGGAGTGCTCTGTTTTAAGCCATAAGGACAATCAGTTGCTGAGAACAAAATCTCCAGAGAAGCAATCCTGTTTTCAAAAAGCCAAAACACATAGCACAGTATTTGGTCAAAATGCAACTTGCAACATTTCTGCTTGGAAACATAAAAATGAGAATCAAGTTCAGGGATTTCACAAAAGTGGTATGTAGTTTTCTGATGGAGAACTTAATCTGTGGTTTGTAATAAATTTTTATACATATGACCTCAATTACCTGGATTATATATACTATTTTGCTTTTCTAATGCAAATGTAATGAACTGTTTGGTATATATTAAGGGAGTTTTTAAATAATGTGGGATTTTTCAGGTCTTATTAAGAAATTTATTAGTGTCATTAAGTGATCCTTTTTGAAAATTAAAGTGTCTACATTTGGTACAGAGAAACAACAGGGGTTTTTTTCAGAATTGTATTCCTTTTGTGACTAGGGTGGATTCCATGAGCAGCCTAGGATAACTTGCATAGGAAACAGTATAACTGCAAAATCACTTACATTTTAAGATTTGTCCCTCCTAAAGGCATGAGGCACATTTTTCTTTGTGGGAAAGAAAAAGTGGAATGGGTAATTAGTCTGGTTTTGGTTTGCTTTTCTCCAACCAGAAATATTGTGTGGCTTCATAAATACTACCACTAGTACCAAGAGTAAGTCACTGGACAGAAGTGAACTGTTGGAGTGTGATGAGAGCAAATGCCAAGTTTAGTTATCTTAGAAGTATAAAATGATCTTTATGTTAGAAGAAGCTGCTTAGTAGTTCTCTGAACAGCTTTTTCCTTGGTTTGACAGAAATCTGTAATGTTAGTTAGGTTTAAGTAAAATGTATTATTGGTTACCTTAAAATTAAAAGATAGTGTTGTTGCTTTGGTAATTGTGTTAGTACTAAACTTGGAGTTGATCAGCTGACACTACCAGTGTCTCTGAAGAACAACTGTGTCCAAATTGATGCCCTGGTACTCTTTGGAAGGAACCTAAGAAGGTGCAGTAAGATTCATTTGACTCAGTACTACCACTAAGAAAATGGTGTAGCCTTTCTTCATTCCTAGTATTATTATGTTGCTTATAGAAATTACCAAAATACTTAGATAAATCTTTAAAAAAATAATTAACTTTTGCGTGCCATTTATTACCAAAAAGCAAACCTTTGATCCTTTCAAGAAAACCATCAGTTAATTAAAATAATGGATTATGGGGCATGGGGGGGTGTCAGAAGCCTAGAACTCCCTTTGTATAATCAAATCAGATTTAGCTGAATTTGCTTGTATTTGTTTAAAAGAACCTTCTGGAATTTAATAAATGTAAATAGAGGGAAAAATCCATATGGTAATCTTGTGGCCCTAATGACCAAGAGGGAAAGAAGAGATAAGGGATTTATCTGGTATTTCAGAGCTCTGTTTATGTAGAGCTCTGGTGAACTCTAATTGGATTAATGAAAAAGAGAAGTCCATTCACCAGTGTTCCAGGTGAAGCAGTCTTCCTCTCTTTTCATAGCAAGGATGTCCCAGGATACTGAATTTAAGTTCTGCTTTCTGTTCTGTGCCACAACCCACAGAAAAGTTTGTACCAAAGTGACAGATGGTGGCTGATGAGCAGCAATTGGCACACTAGGCCTGAAACCTATTGGTCAGATCTAAATTTGAATGCAAAATAGTATTTAAAAAAAAAATCTTAAAAGGGAAGGTGTGAACAGAATCCTTTGGCATTAAAATCAGTGTAGTAGACCTGAGAGTTGTGTGGTGTTTGAATGAAACAGTTCCTGAAATACTTTCATTAATAATTTCCTAGTGCAGGCTTTCTGAAAAGCAAATTTGAGAAAAAGGGAAACATCTGTCTGCATCACTTGATTGTAGTTCTCACATTGCAAAAATAAATACTAAAAAATTTACTTTAGAAATCTTATGAGCAAACATGATGTGCATTATTTTTACTTCTGCATCAGTTTTAATCACTGTTTCTGTAATGCATGTGGGATTGAGAGTAATGGAACCTAGTGTCAGATATTAGCTGTTTCATTATCTTCAAACAGTGCTCTACTGGAAGCTGGAAATACACTGAATTGATAACTGTTAAGGAATGAATTTGGTTAAAAGTAGGAGATGAACTTCTGGAAAACAAATTTTATAGAATAGGGCCTTCAAAATATTTTAGCTTTAGCTTCTAAGTTTGTCACTCAAAAGCAGGATACAACTTCTCTGAGATTTAAAAGTTACGTATGACCTTGTGTCATTTCTGCTTCTCATTATAATTTTAACAACAATCAATTGAAAGTTCTGTACAAAGGATTTATTTTTGCAATTATATGACCTTGTGTCATTTCTGTTTCTCATAATTTTAACAACAATCAATTGAAAGTTCTGTACAAAGGATTTATTTTTGCAATTGTGATTACTAAAATAATAATGTAAATTTAATGAACATTAAGGAGGGTAGGAGCCCAAATTAAGTGTTTATGAATTTTTCTGAGTTACATGTATAATTTAAGATTTGGTTTTACTTTTTAACTAAGTTTTTTGATTATTTTCATAATATGTTAAATGATCAGAGGCTTTTGAAGTATTCACAAGTAAAAAAAGCAATCCCTAAAGTACTTAATTTTATCCTGTATTAGTATTTTCTTAAAGCTAATAGAAGAATAAGAGCAGAAATGGGTGAATCTGAGAAGTGATTAAGGATGCCCCCGCCTGGATTGCCTGTATTTTTTTGTCCTGTTTTGTAGTCTTCAGTTAGAGGGGAAATATTTATTTTATGGAAACATGCCTATTTTTTTACTATGTTTGTATGATTGATTTGTAGAAGAAACCTGCTGTGCAAATTACCTGTGATGGAAATCACTTGACCATTCTGTTTCTGTAGTAGTTCTTAATGCATTGGTTGGCACACATTGCACAAAACGGTCATTGTTTACATTAACTTAATATCAGTAGTTTTAATGAGAGTCATTTAACATGTCTAATTGTAAATTGAATGGTGAAACAGAATAAAGACATTTCTTTAATACCTCTGTTGTTCAATTACTTCTTTCAGTTCTGAGGTGCTAAAGAGAATGCACAGAAATGCTGACTTCTATCAAACTCTCAAACCTTCCTTAAGACTATTAACAAGAAACTCTACAATAATTTCTTCACTTTGCAGAAATATTTATTTTCACCCACAGGACAAAGGTGTAGATATACATGATTTTAAAATTTGTTCTGCATTCATAGTCATAAAAAAGTAGCTTAAAAAATTCTTTACAGATTATTAAAATGTGTATTTAAAAAGTAAACAAAACCTGCTTCTAGCATTTTTTTGCCCATAGGGAAAAATATGTAAATGCAAGTACTTGTGATTTCTTCTTAACTTTTACATCCAGCTATTTTTGTAGCTTCTTTTTCTTTTTCTCTGGTTCATCCTTGCTGATGGCCTCTGCAGAGAGACTTGCACACATATCATTTCCCAATATCTACAGTAAGAAAAAAACAGAAGTCAGAACATTTTTGTTCAATTTTTGCTATCCTAGTAAAACTTGAGTTTACTTGTAGAGACCTTCTACAGACACTCTGTCAATATCACAAACTTCTGATTTAGACAATCACCTAAAAGAGTGTTTACCATCTCAGAACAATCATAGGTAGAACACTCACCTGAAATAAAAGCTGAAAAAGGCAAAGAGAAGCAACAGCACCCCTCCTGACAAAGCCAGCAGGTTGGTAGCACCCCAACCATGAGCTTGCATTAGCCTTACTCTGTGTCTGTTTTCAAAGTGTCCCTCAGACTGGAGTCATGGCCTCAACAGAAGCTCTTGACAAGCTAAAGTTGGTGAGCACAAGCAGAGGGCAGCTCAGCATCTGAATGCACAACAGAACACACAGGCTCCTCTCTGCTACAGTTTTTATATTGTCTAGTCCCCATTTTTGAAATCAGAGATTCACCTCAGCCCAGGGTGAGGGATGGACAGATCAGAGCAGCCTTGCTGAGGAAGGACTTGGAGGTGCTGGTGGATGAAAGGCTGAACACGGCCAGCAGTGTGCACTCACTGCCCAGAGAATCAAACATGTCCTGGGTCACACCCAAAGCAGCGTGGCCAGCAGGGATAGGGAGGGGATTCTGACCCCACCTGCAGTGCTGCATCCAGCTCTGGGGTCCCAGCAGAGAAAGGATGTGGACCTGTTGGACCAAATCCACAGGAGGGCCACAAAAATGATCAGAGGGCTAAATGAAGCAGCTCTCCTGGAGAAGAAATTCTAGGGAGACCTTTGAGCAGCCTTCCAGGACCTGAAAGGGGAGCCTACAAGGGTGCCTACAAAAGGCACTTTTCACAAGGGCATCATCCAGTGACAGGAAATGGAGGGAATGGCTTCCCCCTGCTTCCACTTGAAAGAGGGTAGGTTTAGTTTAGGTTTTAAGAAAAAAAAAATTATTCTGAGTGATGAGGCACTGAAACAGGTTTTGCAGAGAAGATGTGGATGCTCCATCCCTGGAAGTGGTCAAGACCAGGTTGGATGGGGTTTTGAGCAACCTGATGTCATGAAAGGTGTCCTTGCCTATGACAAGGGAATTGGAACTAGATGATCGTTAAAGGTCCTTGTGACCCAAAGCATTCTATGATTCAAACTCATACAACAGCCTGAAGATCAGAATGTATTTACATGTGTTTGGAACATGGTATATTTATGTGATTTCTCAAGGAAAAAATTAATCATGTTTGACTGTATAAGCAGAAAGAAGCTCTTGCTTATTTTGGATTCTTTTTTTTCCTCTGTGACAAGGATACTCAACTGATGCAACTGTCTGTTTACCAAGAAAGTTACATGTACCTTACTCTACCAGCATGATTTTGTAAAGTCATGCAAAATATTTATTCAGGCCTAAAGTATGAGAGCAAGTGAAATTCCCTGTGTCCCAAATACACAAAGAAACTAGACTGAAAAGTCTTGAGACTAGAGACAGTTATTAGGACATTACAGTTCTTACAACATTATAAAGGGAGAATTTTTATATTGTGGGAGTTGTAAGAACTGCCATTTACACCCAGCAATTATACAGAGCTGAGCCACCCAATCACAGTTACATTGTAGTTCACTGCAGTAAAGAGAACACCCTACTGAATTCTGGCAGATTTTCAGAGGGACATTTGATTACAGAACTGTGAAATTCAATACATTACTTCAGCAAATCATCATAATTCCCAACAGTGGAAACATCCTGATGGGCCCAGAACAGAAGTTTAATTTAGAGGATTGTATTATTTTCAACAGCCAGTGAAGGCAGACCTGTGTTTTATTGAGAGTGGATATGAAGCAATCATTACAAGCTCCTCCTAAATTATGTTTTTTCTTCTGGGTTAAATTTCAATTTTACCACATGATGATTTTTTAAAATTACTGAAGGATAATATGATTCTAAGAAATTTGTGCCTTACCTTGGGTTCTACCAAGACCATCCGCATTTTCTGATGTTGGATGTTGGAATCATCTAACATAATGTTCACTTTAACTTTATCAAATACATGTAATGTTGTGTCTTCCACAGTAAGTGATGGCACCTGAAAGTTCAATTTTTTATAAATACTCACTAATTGCAACAGCCAATGTTTTTATACAAATAAATACCTTTGTATGAAAATAGCACTGTTACATGTAAATAAAATAACCAAAACTTACTATAGTGAATATTCAGTGTTGTAACATGTGATACATGCATTTTCTGCAGTAACTAATCATATAATCAGATGTTAGTACTATCTACTATAGAAACAGATTTCTGTCAGAACCTACTTATTTAGACTTACAAAGACTAAAGTGGCATTACTACTAGAGATTAATTAACTTGCATTTAGAAAAGCCTCTCTTACCCTTCTATATCCAACTAGAATAGAGTTTAGTCATTCTGCTTGCTTACCAAATCAAAAAATAAAGGTGTTTAAGAACAAACCTTAAGAATAACAGTAAGAACATACCTCACTGTTGTACTCCAGTTTTGGTGTTGGTTTATCTTTTTCTTCAAAGAAGACTGTTCCTTCTAACCCATACTTGGGAATAAGAACCACAATTGCATTTTTTCTTACAAATAATATATATGCATCTTCATTTACTACTCCCTTGGTTTTGAAGAACAGCTGTAACAAAAGCAGAACGCAGGAATAAGAAAAAAAAACACTAGATAATTCCTTATGAATTACAAATACACTATCTCAGAAAAATAAAACATTCAAATACACATCTATACTTCGTGATAATTACACAGCATATCCTGAAAGCAGCTTTTAAAAAAATCTCATAAATCATTTATAACATTACTGTAGGATTAAGCATTCATATTTATAGAAGCACAAAACAAAAAGAATCCTCAAGATGCCATTCTGAGTTTTTCAGAACGAACAAAAAATAATGTTTTAAGCTTTTTGTCAGAAGCATCCCTCAGTCTTTATCATTTCTACACTCTTCCTTGGTTTTGCCCTAGCAGTGTCCATAGTTCAACATAACATCTCAGAACTACTTACCTGTGTATGGAATGCCACAGAAGCTCTTTGTGCATATTGTGCCATTTTATGTCGGTAATTGAGATTTTTACACATCTCTGCCAGTTTGTGTTTATTTGTGAGTTCTGGATAAGTACTGTCTGCTCCTATGGCCACTGCTAAAAGCCGATGCACTATGATATCAGCATACCTGCAACGATGAGGTTAAAATCAGTGACATAGTAAGACATAGTTTTTCAAAATTAATAAAAAAGTTCCTAAAAATATGTTTGTTTTTGTGACTCTTACAGATTTGAGTTTTTGTAATAATGATGGTCCTCTGGCAACTCCCTGTATTAATTCAGCATCTATCTCTTTGCTGATCAAAGATGCACTGCAGAGCCAGAATACTGTTACAATGTTTGCTAAGATAAATCCTTTATTGTGCCAGAAAAAGAAACAAAGTTGCATTTTTTGACTAAAGAATGATCTTTCACCATGGCATTTTACGCCAATCCTTCTTCCCTTTCCTATGAAATTAGACAAATTTAGCGTAGAATAGTATTTCAATGCCATAGATCTGCAAAGCATGATCATAATTAAACTTGTGATGTAACTTATTAGAATTTCAGCGAGGAACATTTTAATACATCTGGTACTTCAGCGAAGAACTTTTTAATACATCTGGTAAGAACTAAAATTTACTGTTTGGACTACCAGAAGTTCTACAAAGTATCCATATAAATGCATAGAAATTTTAATTGACATCCAGGAGATTTCACTTGAAATGTTTCTAAGGAGCATGATAACAATTATTTTCTTCAAAACTCAAGTGACTTCTTGGTCATACTA